GTGAGGTGGTGGGGACGATTAATGAGTTATGAGGTGACTTGGACGTAGGCGCGTCAGAAGTAAACGAGAAAGCGCGTCCGCTTAAGCGTTGTAATGGCCGCCTCGTCTGTTATGGCCGTAATGGCCGTAATCGTCCAGCCGCCATGAGCGGATGACTGATTCATGAAGGGTGACGGGACCTGTGGCGCGGGCTGTGAAATTAACGTGCGCATGCTGCGCACTTCTCTAATGAGGTTGGATGGGGTTAGTCGTTGTATCGTAGTAACGTCCATAGGTTCTGTCATGTCGTAGGGGTTACTACGGCTTTGTCGTCGTGCCGCCAGAGATGACTCGAGTACGCGTTTGTCAGCCACAAGTTCGATAGCATCAGCTGGCATAGCAGGGTTACGATGAAGCAATTGTCTCTGTGCGTGCTTCTGTCTAAAAAAATTGTGGGCTAGGCGGCTCTGTGTTTCAGCCGTTGAATTGTACGAATTCGTCGCCCTCCGGGCGGGGGGGTAAAATTTTGTTGCCATACGGGCGCTTAGTTCGCCACCATGCTGCCGAAAATCGTTAAGCGCATGCTGCGCGAAACGGGGTTATGCGACGAACGTCGTTGGAGATTAGGTGTAGATTATTCGAGCAAGTGTGATATTAGTTATCAGACCGTTAGTTATCAGACGTGATATTAGTTAAGCCGTTTTGGTATGTGCGAAGGTGTGCGATAACTAATGCACGTAGCGCGGTGACCGCAACGCTCGTACAGGACGCGCATACGTCAGGAATCGACGACAGTAATGAATTACATGGTCTAACACGACAATGGGTAACCTAAACATAATGACTTAGATCTAAACCGGCAAAGAATAGTCTTACTTACCTAGCCGACTTTACGGCGCTGATATAGGATCGTCAGCCTGAAGCGGTAGGCAGAGGTTAGCGACGGCAGAGTGATCGTATATGGTAGCACCTTGGAAGTGGCCGCAACCAGGAACTTGAGCGACTCTCGCGGTACCAATGTAACGCAGGAGGTTTCTACGTTATGATTATAGTGTTGTTTACTACGTTATGTTTCGCCAAG